CAGAACATTCTTATACTAAAAAAATTATTTGTTTCAGTAGAAGAGCACAGTAAATCTAACATTAAAAAAACAAAAAAATTATTTGCTGTTTTCCTGAAATTCAAATTTACTGGAAATCTTGTCGTTTTCTTTGCTAAATCTGATACTCTTGCCTCCAACAAATATCATTCCTTCCCTGCTTATCATGTGTACACATGAATTTGTAACCCTGACCATCTTCCGGTTCATTGTGAGGGTCTCATTAATTTCCATGAACTCATTCAATCAACACATGCTTGTTGGGCTGGTACAGAAGATGCACAAAGGCCGAGGACATAGATTCACCAAGTTTTCTGGCTTGAGCTTGTGTTATGAAACACCCTGGCAAGGGTCGAGGGCTGTTCAACTGTGAGCTGTTGGTATTATGGTGACCATTCAGGTTCAGGGCCTCCTTTTAGCCTGGAAACTCCAGGACAGCGTTTGATCTATTTCAGGAGCTTAATGTAGAGCTTAATCCGTCACCTTCCTCTGGGTCTCTGGGAGGGCCAAGTGGTGCACAGGGGATTAGCACCTCCATGCTTGCAAAGCTGCATCCCCAACCTGCGCCCCTCTCGAGCTCTCTTCACACCTGACTATGAGTCAGCACTTTATTCTGCCTCCCCTGAAGGCATGAGCCCCTCCTGTCTGCCTCTTGTGGAGATGCCTTTTTGGGGCCTTCCGAATTATAAAGGGAGAGGGCAGATGGCAGCCCAAGCCCACACCTTCAGATATCCCCTGGGTGCTGTGTCTGCTGTGTCTCCTGAACAGGGAGAGGGACTGCAGATACCTGCACTGTCCACCCACTACCTCCTGGATCATGCTGGCCTGTTGACGCAAAAGGAGGTCTCACTCTGTGGCTGGGAGACTACCCGCCGGCTGGGTGAGTGATGACCCACCTGCCCGAGTGGATGACAGTGGGATATCAGCAGATGGGTGCAAGTGAACTCTCCTTCTGCCTTTTTGAAGTGCTTGAGCTGGAGGGAAAGACACCTTGCAAAGCTCTCAGTCACCTTTAGGAGGGGAGAAGTTACCGATGTACTTCAAGCTTTTTACAAACTTGTATCAGGGTGACATGTAGGTGGATAGTTGAGTAGCTCTCCCAAGGGGAGAACAGATGCCCCGGGGTATAGACCTGGATCCAGCTCCGGTGCAGGCACTGTGACCTCAGATCAGCACTTCTTTATGCCCCAGTTTTCTGTCTGCAAATCTGTATAATAAAATGCCCAATTCATGGGGTTGCTGGAAGATACAGTGAAAAGATGCAACAGAAGCACCTAGTCTAGAAACAAATATTAATAAGAGAAGGCAAAGGCTGATCTGAAGTCAGGTGGAAATGGCTTCTCTTAAGTAAGCTGAAAAGATTTCCACGAAGCCATGCTTTGTGTAGATGTCCTGGGGGATGAGGGGTGGGCTCCAGTTCCTGCTCCCCTCCCCCTGGCCTCCAGGAAGCGTGTATGATTGTGTGTGTGTGTGTGTGTGTGTGTGTGTGTGTGTAGTATGGACAGGGTGATATTATCTCACAGCAAAACCACCACCTGACTTTTAGAAGCTGAAAACCTGTCTCTGCAGAATTCCAACTAGCAGGCACACCCAAAAAACAATGCCAGAGGAATTTTGTCACACCTGGGAAGGGCTAGTGATTAATGTAATGATGCCTCTGTCCTCAGTTACAGATGGGTTAGCATCTGTGTGATGTAGAGTTTAAATGGTAAGTACTCCTCCTTGTTTCTATGACCACCAATATATAGCCACCAAGAAAAGGTGCCCCAAAACGCTGACATGTGGGCATCCCAGATGTGGAAAGAAGGGAAATGACATTTCTTGGGTGCAACTAGGCCCCAGGTGCTCTGTAAACATCACTTTGTACAAACTTCATTAGAACCCTGTATCATAGACAGGTTTTATCAGTTTATAGAAATGGGTGCTCAGAGGTAAAGCAACTCCCCCAGTGTCATGCAATTGTAACTGAGGGAGCCAGGATTCATACCCAAGACTGACTCTGTGGCCACAGAGGGCCTCAAGCCACTGCTCTGTCCCCCATGCCGTGGCAGATGCTGTACACTGATTGTGGCACTCTTTCTTGCTGCATCAGGAGGCAGCCTTAGTACTCTTCCAAATATAGCCGGCCACCACCAACCTGCAGGGTGGGGGCTGTGATCTGAACACTTGTTTCCCCCCAAAATTCATATGCTGAAATCCTAACTCCCAAGGTGGCATTAGGAGGTGGGGGCTTTGGGAGGTGATTAGATCATGGGAGTGGAGCCCTCCTGAATGGGATTAGTGCCCTTATCCAAGAAGCCCCAGAGAGACCCCTGGTCCCTTCTACCATGTTGGGGCACAGTAAGAAGCACCATCTATGAACCAGAAAATGGGCCCTCACCAGACACCCAATCTACCAGTGCTTTGATCTTGGATCTCCCAGCCTCCAGAACTGCGAGAAATATTTTTCTGCTGTCTTTAAGTCAGTGTGTTATGGTATTTGGTTGCAGCAGCCTGCATGGACTAAGAGTGGGCATGCAAACCAAGCCTGTGGGCCATCCCAGCACCATTCATACTGCCTTCCACCTGCCGTTGTTGGGCTCTTTGTGTCAGCTCACGTGGGTTTTAGGGCCCAGCTCCTCTGCAGAATTCTGATGCCTGGTTCAGATAGGCAGGGCCAGGTATAGGCATGCAGGGAAAGAGTCACCATTTCCTGTGAGGATTTATTGTTGATGTGGGGAGTTTTTTCATTAGCAATCCATATATGTGAGTCAATCATTGCCCTCTCCTTTTTTGAGACATAAGTACCTCTGGGATAGGTAACACCTGTACTTTACTGCAAATTTATCTTTTGGATTTTTTTTTTCTTTAATTTTTTTGTCCAGAAGGATACGCTAGAGTTTTCCAGTTGTTTGGGGGTACTGGCTGAAACCCAAAGCTTAGAACAACAGGCAATCTCCCTTGCCACGCCCCTCTTTTCCCGCAACACACACATTTTAAAGACAGGTGCTAGACCATCCAGGCAGAACTTGCTAAGAAGTATTCCAACTGGTCCTGCAAGTCCCGGTCTTGGCACTTCATCCACCTCCAGTCTAGATTTAATCAAAGGCTAAAGATTGTTCAAAGCAGACTTCTTTAATGAGAAAGAGTGTCGACTCCCTGCTGTAGCTCCCCGCTGTGTCTCCCTCCCGAATCTGAGCATTAAACGCTTGGGAGTGGCATGCACGTCCACGATTTGTTGGGGCCAGGGCTGGAATGTTTCTTTGGGGTCCGAGGTGACATGATCCCTTGGGTAGTATCCAGGCCCCAGGGATTTGAAAGCACTCCACTCAAGATTTCTGTCTGCCAAGGAGAGGAGACCCCAGCAGAAGGAGCCCTGGTGGGGGGTACCTACAAGCAGGAGCTGAGGAATTGTAGGCAGTCAGCTGGAGAGGGTATGGCCCATGCTGCTTAGATCAGAGAATGGGGCACGCTGGGGATCCCCAGCAAGCAGGTCTCCAAAAATCCACAAAAATCCTCTCCTTGAGGGATAGGGAAAGAGCCTGCCTAGACAGTTACGGAACAACAGCTCCCCAAATATATTCAAATTTTAATCCCAGAACCTCTGAATATACTGTTTTACCTGACCAGAGGGACTTTGCTGATGTGTTTAAGTTAAAGATCTGGAGGTGAGAAAATTATCCTGAATGATCTGGGTGGTCGCAGTGCAGTCACAGAGTTGCTATAAGAGAGAAGAGTTGTGATAAGAGTCACAGGTTGCTATAAGATACAAGGATGGAGGCAGAAGTCAGAGAGGAGAGAAGATGCTAAGCTGCTGGCTTTAAAGATAGAGAAGGGATTACAAACCAAGGAATGCAGGTGGCTTCTAGAAGCTGAAAAAAGCAAGGCAAGGGATTACCCCCTGGAGCCTCTGGAAGGAATGCAGCCCTGCTTACCTGTGTCAGACTTCTGACCTCCAGAACTACAAGAAAACAAATGTGTGTTATTTTATGCATCTGAGTTTGAGACAATTCAGCAGCCATGAGAAACGAATCCACCTGCCCTGCTCTGGAGATAGCCAGCAGCTGCGGAGCGCTGCCAGAGAAAACGCAGGACGCCCAAGTAGTGCATGGGACATTCTTATACTAAAAGAGTATTTGTTGTTTATCTGACATTCCAATTTAACTTGACATCCTTTAATTTTTTTTTTTTTTTGGCAAAATCTGGTAACTCGAAGCCAGAAGCCAGAAGAAAACCAACCAACTTATTTAAAGAACACTTTTATCCTTTGTTTTCCATCTCTCCTCCCTGCCCTGAACCTGGAGAGCCTGAAGTGGGTGGTAAACATGTGAGGAGGAGTAGAAATGTGGGGAGAGACAAAGAAGAGACTGTGACCCTCCCCATGGCAGGTTTTTGCTCTTTGGGTCAGGCATGGAGGTAGAAAACGGGGGAAGATGAAGGAGAGGGAATAAAACTTGCATGGGCCAAGCGATTCAAGTTTTCATTTAGATTGGCCTGGAAATTTTAATATCTAAAAATAAACATCATTGGTTAATATCTGAAAGTGACCAAAATGTTTCAGAATCTTATCAAGATATCATCCCAGCTGGGGAAGAGAAAACCGAGAGGGAAGGTCTGAAAGGCAGAGAGGAAAGGTAAAGGCAATACCCAGTTATACAACCAGGAGCCCAGAATGGTCAATAAGCCAGTTGCCAGTTCTTACCCATCCCTGCTGTGTCCTCTATTGAAGTGGATGCATCATTTCTGGGAAGAGTGACACCCACATCTTACTATGCCATCATTTTACTGTATTGCTTTTTTTCTGTGCCAGGGAGAATGGTTGGGCACCACAGTGAGGGTGGAGGGCACCTCAAGAATAAGGACCCCTATGAACCTGGTGACCTCTGGGGGCCTGGGCATCTCTTGAGACTGGACCTGAGCAGCTTGGTGAACCAATCCCAAATTCTACCATCAAAAAGAAAAATATGGGGTGCTTTCAAAGTTCTGTGCCTGGAGCCCTCTGGACAGCTTCCGGGAAAACTTCCCAAAGCAAGGGGTTCACCAGAATTGCACATGACCATGATCACGTTGGCCACAGGGAACTGCTGAGAATGTTTCTCTCCACCTGGTTTTCTTGACCTCAGCAGATGTGAATGGCTTCTGTCTGTCTGACTCACCCTAAGCCTGACCTATTTGTGAAATGCTTTCTCTACAAAAAAGCTAGAGATAAGTGCAGAGAATTATACATTTATAATCCCAGTAGAGACAGAGTTGCCTAACCCTCTTATTTCAGCTGCTCCCTGCCTTGCCAGTGCTAGGTGCAAGCTGACCAAATGTTGGTGAGTGTCTAATGGCCTAACTTATTTGCTCCAGTGGTAATTACCAGGATGGGAGGAGGTGGAGGGAGTGAGGGAAGAGGGAGGCAAAGGGCCAGGCAGCCAATTAGGGAAGGGTGAGGGGATCCCAGAGATCCATGTCTAATTCTGCATCTGCTTCTTATACACCCAGGAACTTCTACAGGATGAATGAACCACCTGTGAGGTATCAGCACAGCGGGGAGTTGGCTTGGTGCAGTGGGTCCGATCTGGGTTAGGATTTTTTTTCTGCTATCTTTCTTGCTGTGTGCTGGTGGCTTTTCCACTCTGTCTTCCTCATAGAGATCTGCCCTCATGCTCTCAGACTTCATATAAGAATAAATAAAATACTACATACAAAAGGAATAATATTATATACTGCAAAGCACTCTACAAAATGTATTGAAAGTGCTTGGAGAGCTTTAAATAGGGTTTCTGAAAATTTGCCTTTTGCATGGGTGGTAGGAAGACAGGAAGTCGAGTTAATTGCAAATGGCGGCTGATGCTGACTTGGTTTTGATGGACTGAGCCAGCCAGATCCTCCAACCCGCCCGTACTCTGCTTCTACTTCACTCCCTGTCAGGATTTGGGTGTGGGAGCCTAGTGGGCCCCATGCCAATCTGGGTCATAACTAGAACCGCCAGTACTAATCATGCAGAGCTGCTGGTCTAGTTCTTATTTCTACCCCTACACCCATAGAAGAGGCCGTGCTCTTGGTCTGAGCGGAAACGGAGGCAAAGTGGACAGTACCTCACCCGCTCTGCCACGGCCACCTGCTGGCTGCCTTGGCCAGCAGTCACTGAGCTTGGAGCCTTGAGGGGGATTGGAAGTGACCTTGGCGCCATCTCAAAGGACACACCTGTTTCTGCTGCCAAGAGCAGCTACCTACAAGGGCATGTATGGGTTTTTTTCTGTTGCTGAGATGGGTTGTATCCCTCTCCTAAAGCTCCCCTCAGTTCTGTCTATAAAAGATGTAATATGGGCCGGGCGCGGTGGCTCAAGCCTGTAATCCCAGCACTTTGGGAGGCCGAGACGGGCGGATCACGAGGTCAGGAGATCAAGACCATCCTGGCTAACACGTGAAACCCCGTCTCTATTAAGAAATACAAAAAACTAGCCGGGCGAGGTGGCGGGCGCCTGTAGTCCCAGCTACTCGGGAGGCTGAGGCCGGAGAATGGCGTGAACCCGGGAGGCGGAGCTTGCAGTGAGCTGAGATCCGGCCACTGCACTCCAGCCTGGGCGACAGAGCGAGACTCCGCTCTCAAAAAAAAAAAAAAAAAAAAAAAAAAGATGATAATATGGTGGCCGAGTTAAGTGCTTGGATTCTGGCACTGAACTTGTTTTTCTGGAGGTTTGACTTGTTGCCATCAGCATGATGGGCAGGGGTGGAGCTGGCTTTCTCTGCCTCTGTTCTCCTCTACACTGATTTTTTTTTTTTTTTTTTTTTTTTTTTTGAGACGGAGTCTTGCCCTGTAGCCCGGGCTGGAGTGTAGGTGGCGGATCTCAGCTCACTGCAAGCTCCGCCTCCCGGGTTTGCGCCATTCTCCTGCCTCAGCCTCCGGAGTAGCTGGGACTACAGGCGCCCGCCTCCTCGCCCGGCTAGTTTTTTGTATTTTTAGTAGAGACGGGGTTTCGCCGTGTTAGCCAGGATGGTCTCGATCTCCTGACCTCGTGATCCGCCCGTCTCGGCCTCCCAAAGTGCTGAGATTACAGGCTTGAGCCACCTGATGTTAACAGAATACCTGGATTCTGGGGACTTCCAGGTCTAGCTGGGCCACTTTAGACTGTGCCAGGGATCTGTAAATAGGCAAGCAGTTGGGTCGGGAAAATACACAGGCACTGGAGGACCTGACAAGGTGAGGAGGGAGAGCGGGGAGGCCCTGCCTCAGCCAGGAGTCTTCAATGTAGATGCTGTGTGCTGGGCTCTGGTATGGCCAGCTCTGGGCGTACAGATGAGCTGCATTGGGGAAGTAAAAAGTGAAGAGATTGGCCACATTGAGAAGCAGGACCAGAGCAAAGTGCATTGACTGACAAAAGCATCTCTCTGAAAACTTTAGAGAACAGTCTTTTAGAATGTTATATGTCACCTTTGCTTATATCAAGATGCAAAACTATAAAGCCATTTCATCTTTGTCTTTTGCAATGATCAATAACTAAAAACACCCCCAGCACATGGACAGGATGAGTACAGCATAGTGGCTAATTAAATATGCAAGTTTTAGACCCAGACCACCTGGATTCAAAACCTAACTTTACTCCCTTCTCACTAGGTGACATGGAACAACTCATTTGGAACAACCGATTCGTGCCTCAGGTTTCTCTTATGGAAAATGGGGCTAATAATAGTATTCACATCATAAGATTGTTGTAGTGAGAAGAAAATGTGAGTAATACATGTAAAGTGCTTAGAACAGGAATTGGCATGAATAAATGCTCAATAAGTGTTAGCTACTCTTGTTTTATGTCATTATTTCAAGAGTATAACTTTTCTCCTTTCCTTTTGGTATCATGGATCTGATGAAAAATAGGTTGCAACCTGTAGGTCAAGTTCAACCAATTGGTTGTAGCTACCTAGAGAGCTGTGTTGAGAAGGATTCTGAGGCTGCATCAAGCTCATTTAAGGGGAAATTATATAGTGTCCTATGAGTGTTACTATGAGTACCATCTCTGCTACTGCATGTGGTAATGGGGAGTGGTGGCATTGGTGCCACATCATTTCCATTCCTGTATTGTATTTTGTCTTGTTGTAAGGTTTGTTTTTCCCTGCCTCTGTCTCAGCCCCCCCCTCCCCATCTGCCTTTGCCTTTGTAGGGCATCCTGGTCCTTGAATGGGCTTGGATGCCAATCGCTGCTCTGTAGAATCTGCAGTCCATTCCAAGTAAGAACCTTCTGAGATGATGATGATGATGATAATGATGATTTTGGAGAGAGCAAAGACCACATGGCCTGATACTGAGGATGCTGCTAGGCTGTGAAGCACCCACAGGATCCTTTGTGTGCCAATCAAGGGCACCCTTAGAGAAACCAGGAAGATCTTCACTGAGCAGGTTAATCTTTGTGACCCCTATGGTTCTGGAATCAGAACACTAATGATTAGCACAGAAACTTCCCCACAGTCTCAGTAATCATTGACTTATTAATCCATGCAGTTCAGGACCTTGTGCTGAGTTATCTCTATTTCCATTCAGTGGTCAGTCTTTTCTGTCTGGACACAGGACCACTGTGGTCAGGTCATCCAGTGGCACTGCCATGGCCATCCTGGTTTGCCGAGTGCCATTCTGCTAACTTTTGTGAGCTGTGCTCTGTCTTGAGTCAGACACCTGATTTGAATTTCTTGCTCCACCAATTACTAGCCTTATCATTTGGGTAAGCTGCTTAAACTCTCAAAGCCTCACTTTCCTTGTCTATAAAATGGGAGGAATGACAGTTCCACCTCATCAGGTTGCTGTGAGGCCTAATGAAAGCATGCATTGTAAGTGCTTGGTATGTGCCTCACCCATATTAAGCATGCTGAAATCGATAGCTCTTGTTTTCCTAACTCAATCAGAAAGCTCGTTAAGTGATATGACATAAAAATAATGGTTCATATGTGTATGGCACTTTCACATTCATTATGCTGGGCATAGAGCAAATGCTCAATGAGGATTAGCTACAATTATTATCATTAAAAACAACATTGACAACGACAGCTCAACTTAAGCTGCTAGGAAGGGTGAGATAATCATCCAAGTCCTAGATTAGGCTTCTTAATCTGGTGCTCCTGGACCCGTTGGTGGTCTAGGGATAGAATTTATGGGGTTTGTGACTGTGGATGAGAAAAAAACATTAGACCTTTATTTCCACTGACCTCTAACTGAAATTTAGAATTAATTTCAATTATGAATATAGGAAACAAAATACATCACCTGTGATGCTGACACTAATATACATCTACATCTTTTTTTTTTTTTTTTGAGACAGAGTCTCACTCTGTCACCCAGGCTGGAGTGGTGCGGTGGTGCCATCTCGGCTCACTGTAACTTCTGCCTCCTGGGTTCAAGCGATTCTCCTGCCTCACCCTCCCGAATAGTTGAAATTACAGGTACCCATGACCATGCCTGACTAATTTTTGTGTTTTTAGTAGAGACTGGGTTCTGCCATGTTGGCCAGGCTGGTCTCAAACTCCTGACCTCAAGTGATCTGCCTGCCTTGGCCTCCCAAAGTGCCGGTATTACAGGCGTGAGCCACCATGCCTGGTTTAAATCTGCATCTCTTTATAGTTGTTGCAGATATCTCGAAATATTGGCTGTTCGTTGCTACTTCAAAATTATGGTAGATAGTAAATCTCTACTATAACTTATTATTTAATATCTTAATGAAGAAGCACATATTTTGATACATTTCAACATAACTGGTTTTTTTGAATACTACATATCTTATTTTGTGCATTTAATAATCATCTTCAGAAAAGTTCACAGCTTCACCAGACTGCCAAAGGCGTCCGTGGTACAAAAAGAGTTAAGAAGTTACAGAGTGCAAGGCTGTCCCCAGGATCACCTCGCTTCTGACACCAATTGTCTGTTGAGGGGTGGTGAGAGTGGGAGGGGAGCAGGTCTGATCACACTCAGATCTGATAAATCAGCAGGAGGACTTCCCGACTGAAAGCTGTTACACTTATTTTTTATTTCAGTGGAAGGAATGGGCCAAAGGAAGAAGTGCATGGAGCAGAAAGTCCCAAAAGGGAAGCTTCCAGCTGTCCTCTCCCAGTAGACTCATGGGCAGCGCCAACTTTTCCTGGCCAGGATATGTGACAGTACACGTGGAATACTGCCCCCCAGGGAGCTCACCCGAGCCTTTGTGTACAGAGCTTTTACTGGGTCTCAGGCAGGTAGACATGGTGGACTCCCTATGTGACTGACCGTTCATCTCCAGCCCTTCTGCAGGTCAAGCTGATGCTTTGTGGCTGAAAACCCCCAGCATAAATCATGCTGTTAGGCTTTTCAATATGGTTCAAGACTCCCCAAGCAAACAAAGATACTCTTATCAGGCAGGACATCCCCAGGGCTTAGAGGTACCTCCCAGGAACCTCGGGCAATGGCTGGACATCTCTGGATAAGGTCAATTCTTTACTACACAGTACCCGACTCTTGAAACTGCCACAGAGCTGCACACCTGGAGCAGTTGGAGGTAGGTGAGAGGGTGGAAGAATTAGCTAACACATAGTTGTAGCCACTGAAACACAATTTAGTGGAAGATTTCTTTTTGTACCTGCAAAGACAGCATAGAGTTCATTGCTTTCAGAGGCAACTGAGTAGTTCCAGGTTAAAAGCATCACTCGGCCTGGGTTTAGCACCTAACACTTTTCAGTGTATTTTCATCTGTTGTCTTATTTAATCCTCAAAAGAGATGGAAAGAAGGGGTGTTGTTAAGCCTGGCCTGGAGGTTGGAGCTCACCAGGGTCATGGGATGAGGGAGCAGAAGCAGCATGAGGAGGGTCCTGGCCACTTCCCTCACCCTGCCCCACCCTGACTCCTCCTCCCAGGTTGTTCAGACAGAGCGAGTCCTGTGGCCAAGAAGATCAGCAGATATTTTGCAGCATCAGGTATCTGGTAATGCCCGGGTTGTACGGGGAGCTTAACCAGCTTTGGGATGGTTGTTGTGGAGTACACCACACTGGGCGATTACATGAGGTCACTGCCCGCCTGATGTGACCAACTTACTTGTGGGAAAGCAAGCTGTTTGCTGGAGTCTCTGAGGTCCAACATGTGTTGACTCGTCTGAAGCAAGCCTTCGCCCAGGGTCATGACCTCACCCTGAAGTTTGGTGTAAATTCCATGCAATCTCTGTGTAAACATTGGAAAGCCGCTCTTTCAGGGCGCTTTCCTTTAGGGGCCCTCCCTGCGGGGTTAGGCCATTTCTGTGGGGTTGCAGCTGCAATGGTGATGACTGTACCTGACTCCTCTGCAGGAGGCTGAACCCCCTGAAGGGGAAGAAAGGCAGTGTGTCTGGGACTCTGCCCGCTCCCTCTGACCTGTACTGTTCCCTCGGGCTTTCTGGGGTGCAGCTGGGATCTAGATAGTCTTGTGTTTTCTCTGAAGGTGACATCTGTCTTAACAAATGCATTTGTATGTAATTTGCACAGGAATTGGCACTATTTTATGGAGGTCTGTGTGGTTTTTTTGAGCTACCAGTTTTGCTTCCTGCTTACCTGTGATGCTCGTCCATAATTATTGGAAGCACCACTCTTTCAGGAAGTAATCTGATCGGGTTGCAGCTCCACGGGGCAGGCCCTGCCCTGTCCTGTTCACAGCTGCATCTTGGCACCTATGACAGTGCCTGCCATGTATGGCACTTGCTAAATGTTTGTTGAATCCTATGAGGCCACTCACTGACTTAGTTTCCTGTGGCTCCTGTAACATATACTGCAAACCTGGTGGCTTATAACAACATGCATTTTTTCTCTTACAGTTCTGAAGGCCGGAAGTCCACAATCAGTATTGCTGGCTGAAATCAAGGTGCTGGCAGGCTGCGCTCCCTCTGGAGGCTCTAGGGGAGCCAGCCTCTGATGGCTGCGGCAGCTGCGGCGTTTCTTGGCTGTGGTCACAGTCTCTGCCCCCACGGCCACATCGCCTTCTCCTCTCCTGTGTGTGCCTCTGCCTTATTAGGGCCACCTGGATAATCCGGGATCAACTCCTCATTTCAGAATCCTGGATGCAGTAGCAAAGTGCCCCTCCCTCTTTTCGGTATTGGTGGCAGCTACAGGTAGTGGGGATCAGGAGGTGGCTATCTGCCACACTCACCAAGGGGATGGAAACCTGAAGAGAGCTGGTCAGTGGTGGCAGTGTCACTCCTGCTGCCCATGAGGCTGGATGCCTGCTGGGGAGTCTGGCATGAACATGAGTTGGGGAAAGGGAGTTCCATCCCAACCGCTTCCCTGAGGATAAGCTTGCCTGGGCAGAGAGCCTCCCAGTTTACACGTGTAAGGTATATGGATGTGCTTTGGTTAAGAATAGGCTGAGGTGGATAACCAGGCCTGCATGACTCAGTGAGTTTAGAGTGCAGGCATATAGCTCTGCTTGTTATCACAGCCATGTAGCCATAACATGCGAAGGCCATGCCTTGGCCCTATGCCACTATTGTCTCTAAAAGCTTAATTGGCCTGCTGACTCTGTACAGGCACACTTGCACCCAGAGAGAGAGAGAGCCAGAGCTGTCTGACTTTGCAGATGGACAGGGGGAACCAGGACACAGCTCAGCCTACTCATACCCAGAGAGAGAAGGAGTTCAGCTGCTGACCCTGAAGGTAAGGGAGAGCTGGCCACGCAGGTGTGTGTGGGAGCTGGCTGCTAAGAGGAACCGCTGAGCCGGAGCAGGCAGCCAAAATAAAGGTGAACAGTGTAAAAGAGCCAGTGTAAGCTGCTGACGAGAGAGCTCCTGAATAAAATTACATTTCACCTGCCTTCAGCCCCCCGAATGTTCTTTCAGCTATCTGCTCATCCACCCACTCCTTTCGGACCTCAGCTGGGGCTGGACCCCAACCCTGAGCGTAACAACAAGCGATACTTTTGTTAGGTCCATTTTCACTTCCTTCATCAGAAATGTCCTGAGCTCTCCCTAGGCACTGTCCTGTGGCTGGTAAGAGGCAGAGGTGAGTCAGATGTGAAGCCCACCCTCTAGGGCTTCCTCCTGGTAGGGCGGGTGGGCAGGTGAACCCGTTACGAGGAGCCCAACAAGTTAGGTGTGTACAAGGTTCAGACTTGTCATCTTGATATTTCCCAGATGTACCATGTTCCTTCCCACCTCAAGGCCTTGCCACTTGCTGTTCCCTCTGCCTGAACCCCTTTCTCCCCTTCCTCTGATAAGCTCCTAGTTGTACTTCAGGTGCCCCTGAAAGTCTTCCCCGAGGCCCTTCCCTTCATTATGCCAATTGCTCTTGTTCGACAATCTTATGAACCTGTGATTCCTTTTCCTCTCCCTACTGCAGGGCAGGAACTGTGTCAGTCTTGTTCCTTGTTGTAACCCAGTGCCTGGCACATGGTAAGTACCCAGGAAATGTTTATTGAATGAATGAAAAAAGCTGTTGCACAGAGGAGGCACTGGTTCACTTAAAAGGGGGGAATCTGGGAAGGTTTTCTGGAGGAGGTGCTGACTAAGCCAGGTTTTAATGGAAGAATAGAAGTTTGCAGGGCATACCAGGCAGTGGAAACAGCATGCACAAAGGCTCAGAGAGGCGACGTCTTATGGAAGCTCACTGTTGTTGGAATGCAGAGTGAGGGGGGCAAGGGGTGAGGCGAAGGTGTGGCCAAAACGTGACCTGCTCATGGAAGGTCCAGTGGGTGTTTTCAGAAGCCGGGGATGTGGGTAAGGAGGGGCTTAATGTGACCTGTGGTTTGGAAATATTGTTCTGGTGGCTGTGTAGAGTGGCCGGTGAGAAGCTGTTGTGATGCACCAGGAGAGACGTGATGAGGCTCCAACCTATGCACAGTATGAGGATAGGGAGGATGGATGAGTTCGAGATTTCAGGCGTAAGTCCCAGGGCTTGATGACTAATTTGATGTGGTAGAAGGAGTAGTCAAGAGTGGAAGGTGATTCCACTAACACAAACCACAGACACAAGACAGAAAAAGAACAACTTTGAGAAAATTGGGAAGGGAAAGGCGGTTCTGTTTTAGACACATGGAGTTTGAGGATCTCTTGGGGCTTCATGTCAGAAGCATATAGTTTTATATTTGGCACCAAAGCTCAAAAGAGAAGTAAGAGCAGGAGATATAGATTTGGACTTTGGGACATATACAGTTATGTGCCACATAACAACATTTTGCTCAATGACAGACTGCATATGGTCCTATAGGATGATGCTACCATATTTTTGCTGGGCCATTTCTATGTTTATCTCCATTTAGATACACAAAAACTTACCACTGTGTTAAAGTTGCCTACAGTATTCAGCTCAGTAACATGTTGTACAGGTTTGTAGCCTAGGAACACTAGGCTACACCACACAGCCTAGTGTGTAGTAAACTATAACATCTAGGTCTGTGTAAATTCACTCTATGATGTTCACACAGCAGTGAAATCACCTAACAACTCATCTCTCAGAATGTATCCCCATTGCTGTCATTCAGGAACACTTGATTATACATGGAAATTAAAGTGATAGGGGTGAATGAGACTGCCAGGGAGAGCGTGTGGAGTAAGACCAGAAAACGTCTGGGCATAAAACACTCAGGGAAATAAAAATTCAGACCTTCAGAGAAAGACAACACCAAGAAACAACGATCAGAGTAGCAGAGGAAGCAGGAAGAGAAGCTGTCACAGAGACTGTTGAAGGGTCCCTGGGTGGACTGCCCAACACATGTCCGTCTTTCCTCCTTCCCAACAGGTATCTGTTCTCCTTGACATAAGTGTATGAATGTTCCCACTCCACAGTGCGAATCCTCATAATGGAAGCCAAAGGTGGTCGTTCCATTCTCCTTGCCAGGGACTGGCTGAGGAATAGACATGTAACCCATTAGGGCCAAGGAAGCACGAAAGGGGCATTCTTCTAGAGGGCTTCTGAGAAAGGTTTCCTTATTCTTAAGGCAGAGGCGAAGATGAGATGATTCTATTTCATCTTTGGCCTTCATTGAGACTGCATGTAATATTTGGCACAGTGGCAGCTATCTTGTGACCATAAGGAAAATTAGTTTCAGGGTCAAGTCAACACACCAAAGATGGCAGAGAGGAGACAGGGAAACAACTGGGGTCTTTTATGACATTGCTGATCCATGGGCCCTAAATGCAATCACATGTATTTTTATAAGAGGGAGCAGAGAGAGATTTGATGCACATAGAAGAAATGAAGTCAATGTGACCATGGAGGCCGAGATTGGAGTAATGTGGCCACAAGCCAAGGTGTGCCAGCAGCCACCAGCAATTGGAAGAGGCGAGGAATAGATTCTCCCCTGGAGCCTCCGGAAGGAGGGCAGCCCACTGACACCTTGACTTCTGCACAGCATTTCCTCTGCCTTTCTGATCCAGGAGGTCAAGGAGGGTCCTCAGTGCTCCTGTGCCTGTGGCAGAAATGGTAGGAAAAGGCTGAGCTGCACTGCAGTTACACAAAAAGAGTACTTTAAAAAAATGGTCTATAGAATTCCAGGAGTCAGAAATTGAGTCATCCATCCAGGAATCTTTATTATGCACGTGCTGTGTGTCACACCTGTTGGGAATACAGTTATAATAAGACTCAGAATTAGTTGTGGGCCTCAAAGAACAGGGGTGGAAAAGGCCTTCTCCAGAGGGAGCTGGCAGCTCTGAAAGAACCTTATTGACGAGGGGGGTGGATTCATGTTGTCCAGGTACTGAGCTGGGGATGCAGCTGTTGGGGTGCAGGAATTCTCCAGCTCAGCCTGCTGGCCCTGCTAAGAGGCAGGCCTGGGCAGGAGGAGACTGGAGTCTCCAAAGCAGATGTGAGGAGGGAGCTAGCCCAGGGTCAGGTGTTGGCTCAAGTTTCTCCTGTACTCAACACAAGGGCAGTGGAGGAACCTGGCCTGGAGTCCAGCCTGACCCGGAAGGAAGTTCATGGGGTGAAGTGTGAAGCTGCCAAGCTCCAGGGGCCTCAGAGACCTGCAGCCGAGGGTGTGGGGTGGGGACTGGAAATAGCAGGCCAGAGAGCTGCCAGCCCTTTCCAGGGATGGCACTCTTTCAGGCTAGAGGGGAGCCATGATTGCAGTCACTGCTGTGTCTGCTGGGCCCTGGAAGATGGTGGAGTCCCTGAGGGACAGAGGAGCTTCCAGGCCTCTCCACCCCTGGTGGGCATGCGGTGTGGTCTGGATCTTGGTTTTTATGTGACTCTCACCTGGGGATGGGAATGGTATGTGACCCCTCCCCAAGGCCCTCCATGGCACACTGGAGCCGAGAACTCCTGCTTGACACACCGAGTAAGCAGACAGGGGACCACGACGGCATTTTTCTTCAACCTCATGGAAGAAACAGAGCTCAGGGAAGAGGGAGGGAGTCTTGTCAGGAAGAGGAAGGAAAGTGGGGAGTGAAGTCCTTAGCCAGGACCCAAGGCTGAGGATTCCAGTCAGCACCCAGCGATCAGAACATTCCAGCACATTCCTCAGGAAGAGAAGCCGCTGTTCTCTTTTTGTTTGTTTGTGGGGGCAAAGGGGATGGCGCTTTGAAAGTCAGACATGGCGAAGGCAGCCACAGCTTTGGGGGTGCTGGGTGGCTCTCTGTCTCTCTTCCCTCCTCTGTTTCTCTCTTTCTTCTCGTCCCCTCTCTTCCCCTTCCCTTCTTTCTCTCTTCTCCCTCCATCCTTCCTTTTCTCACTGTATGTCTCCTTGACATCAGGACTCTCTGTCTACCGCTCACATCTGTGTCTCTTCTTCTCTCTCTCTCTTGCTGTCTCTCACACAGAGCCTGGCTTTATTCCTATTACCTCAGCTGAAGGGTCAGGACACCTCAGGAAGCACCTGTGCTCCGGCCCTGCCCAAGCACACTTTGTCCGTGTTCTCCTTTACACTTCCTCATGCATCCCGTCCTTTAACACTTGCTCACAATGTCATCCGTGCCTTTCAGGTCCCCTCACATATTTTCATCCGTTTTTATCAGCAAACATCCAGGCATCTTCCTGGTGCCCCATCCCATCCTCTTGGTCCAGACCCAGGCTGACAGAGGTTTCAGCTCCTTGGGACCTGCTGGGGATGGGCAACAGGTAGGTGGTGCCCGCAGAGGTCGGGCTCCTCACCCTCGACTCCTGAGAAACCACTGAAACAGGAGGGGGCATTACAGCACCCTCAGCTCTCAGCCTCCTGGGGCTGCTCCCTTCTGAGGCCAGGACCCAGGATGAGAGCACTCAGGTAAAGGCTGCAGAGCTCCCCATTAGCACATGGTTTAGAGGGAGAGCCTGGAGCCTGTTCTCTGACCGAGACCTCTGGCAAATCATGTAATCTTTTTGAGCCTCAGGTTCTTTTTTTAAAACCTGGAAAATTGGTATTTTGTTTGCTGTATTGTACAAAGGGTTACCCAAAATACCCATTTTGAGTATTTTGTACTCAAAATACCCATTTTGGGAACAAAGGGTGCCTTAATGTATAAACTCAATCCTGCAACAACCTCACGACTAGGCAATATTATCATTTCTATGAGGAAAGGGAGGTTTAGAGAGGTGAAGTCACTCATCCTAGGTTGCTCAGCTGGTAAGTGGCAGAGCTGGGGTTCAAACCCCACAGTCTGGCCCCAAGCCCCACACCCTTATGGTTGAGTGTTTTACTGATGGTCTGTGAAATGCTCTCTTCTTCCACTTTTCTGGGATGGCCTGGGAGAATACAGTTGGTGCCCCTCTCCGGGTACCTCCGAGAAACTCTATTTCCAGATCTGGCTCTATGGACAAGTGCCCACAGCGTGGTTGTCCAGTCTGCAGAAGTGATAATCCAGGTGCTGAGAGCACGTGGCCACGTCCATCTGGGTCTTCTGAGGGACACAGGGCCACTGAGTGGAAGGAAGGCTCCGATCCAGGGCTGCAGTAACCATCTGTGTTTTTCCCTAAGTCTCCTCAGGCTTTGTTGCCACAATACATTTATTTTTGGAGAATTACCATCCCCAGTTCAGCGCACCAGGCCTCTTATTTGCCAGCTGCTTTCTCTCTGGTTTCTGTTTAACTATGGTGTGTATTGACTTTGCTGCTGCTATCTTTGTTTCACCACTAAAAAGAGTATTCGAGTGGCAAGTACTGTTTATTCTCTCATTTCTTCAACAACTGTGACTTCCATGCACAGGACACTGTGCTGACTACTCTGGGGGATATGAAAAATGAAACTGGTGTGGCCTTTGCCCTCAGGAATCTTATAGTCCACTAGGGACATACCAACATGCACGGAGGTCACTGTGATGCCACGTGGAGTGTGGTGAAAGCATTAGCACCAAACAGGCATATTGGGACTTCAGACAGAACTCTTAGGGAAGCTTCCCAGAGGAAATTATGTATAATTAACGAAGTTAAAGTGCAGAGACCCCCAAAACACAGTGATTTATATAAGATCAATCTTAAGATATAATTGTATTTCTCTCTTCTGTGATCGTGCAGATGTAGGTGGCAGTTGAGGCTGCTGGGATAGCTCAGCTCCACAAGGTCATTCAGGGACTCAGTTCTGCTCTATCTTGTTACTTTGCTCCAGTGTTCCACAGGGTGTTGGCCTCATCTGTATGGCTAAAACTTGGTCATTGCCACATTAGTGTTCCAGCTTCTGGGCTAGGCGGAGAGGATGGAGGAATATACAATAGGTGTTTTAAGGCCCGGACCCAGAAATGGCTCACATATCCTGTTGGCCAGAAGTTGGTCATTTAGCACATCTAGTTACAAAGGAGATGGGGAAATGTAGTCGATAGCCAGGTGGCCAAGTGCCCAGCCAAAAGTTTAATGTGGAAGAAACAGATAACAGGTATTATTATCTCCATTACTCTATCACAATGAGTTGGACCTTGGCATATAAATAGAGCCTTGCTAAGTAAAAATTAGAATGAGAGGGCATTCAGCTGCCTTCCAGAAAATGTCAGAGGTAAGGAAAGGTGCAAGATGTATTTAGAGAAAGTGAATATCCAGCATAACTGAAGTGTAGGGTTTCTGTAAAGGAGGTTGTGACCTACCTACAGGTGGAGATAGGGCAGGCCTCATCTCTTTAACAGGCTGCTCAGCCTTCCAAATAGAATGTATCCATGCCACCTGTACACTTGTTATCCAAAACACTTGATTCTTCTCTAACCGACCACACAGGATGTGTGTTCTCTGAGCCCTACTCAGGAAATTTAACCTTGAGCTGATAGTGATCTAGATCCTATCAAAATCTCGGCTTCCTAAGGGTATGCTATTTGACTACTTTTTTTTAGCAATGATTCTTGTATGTATTGATGCTGATCCCAGAAAGTTCTATGAAGGACTACATTAGCCCAGTCTCCTAGCAGAAGACCTTCACTATGTTGAGTTTCATGTTAAGCTCTTGGAAGAGATGGCCACAAGAAGAACACTTTGGTATGTTCCAATAAAACATTATTGAGGATGTTGCTCACATTTTGTTCATGGTATAACATGGTATTTTTAAATAAAAATCAACCACAGGCTCTATATCTTGCCACATCCTGTTGCTCTGTCCTTGGCATTCAGGACTTCAACAAACATTTATTAAGGCACTGACTATTGACAGATACTGGGCCAGATGCTTGGTGGGAATATAGAGAGAAGAGACACAGTCTCTAACTTCCAAGAGCTCACATTCTGGGGCAGGGGATAGGGATGTGTGGCTTATGAGGCAGATAAGTAATAGGCATTTCTGACATAATTTGGTAAATGTTGTGTGAAGCACAGAACGAGATGCTATAGGAGCCTGGAGAGAGAAGGCGAGGAAGGCCTTCTGAAGGAGCTGAGTGTTAGAGGTTGAATAAGGGTCAATAACATTAATCATGAGGAATGGATAAAACAATGTTCTAGGCAAAGGCAACAGCTTAGCAAAGTCATGCAGAAATGAGGGAGGGTGGGGCTCAGTGTGGCTGTGGTTTAGGGGGAGGAGGGGAGATTCAGCTGGAGGGGTAGGCTGGGCTAGTCACAAGGGCCTAGCAGCCCTGCTGATGAATTTGGGCTTTTGCCCACAGGCTCTATACCATCCTGGCAGATGATCAGATCCGTATCTTAGAAATGTCAGTCTTGTCAACATAAGTTAGGGAAGGGACTAAGAAGGGAAGCTGTTGCAATATGTCAGGTGAGAAATGATGTGGCCTTAAACATGTGAAGACAAGGTGGACATAAGGAGGTGGAAAGAGGTTGGAGGAATATTAAGGAAAAAGAATCAATAGCACTTGGTGACTGATTTGGGGGTGAAGGAGAAGGTGATGGGACAGTGAGGTGTTTGGACTGGCAGTGTTACTCCTTTAGAACCAGCTGATAGGGGAAGGAGCAGGTGAGGGGTGGGGGATAAGGCGTTTGACTATGGAGGTGGGCCAGGCAGTCAGATACGCAGGAGGCAGATAAAGATTTTGGAGTTACCAGTGTGCAGGTGCAGGTTAAAGATAAGGAGTGTGTCCAAAGCCAGTGAATACTGAATGACACACCTGCGGTGTTGTCAAATGCTTTTTATTCCATATGAGAAGTTGATGCAATGCCTACAGTGTATGGGCCTGGAGCTTTCACACTCACTCATTTAGCCTGCTCCATGAACCTTGGAGGAAGAATGCATTTACTTATTGATGCTTGGCTGCAGAAAGGATTTAAGCCTATAGGTATTACTACCAGGCTGATTTTACAGTGAGGTTCAGAGAAGTGAAATGAGTGGTAGCAGGCCGGATTGCACAAAAGGTGGTGGAGGGGGATTGAAGGGCAGGCCTTTGCAGCCTGGTGTATACCACAACTGCCTTTTGTGATGTGGGTGACCTTTGAGCAGGAGAGGCTTAGCTTCTGGTGGCACATGCTGCTCACAGGGGACTACATGAGTCCATGGGGCAAGGGCACCTGACCATGGCCTTGGCCTCTGTGCATGCACTGGCTTCCGACTCTGGCGCAAACTTGGGCACACTCAACAGAGTGAGCTGGTTTGGTGCTCATTGTATCATCCTTTTGGAGCAGGAGGATTTCTGGCCCTCTTGGCCCTCCACATCCCCTGCTGTCCTCATGGCTGGAGAGGAGGCCTGTGATGAGGCAAAACTGACACCAAGGCAGGCCCATCCATGGTAAAAGCAGAGGTGTGCTGGCATTAGGTGTTGAAAGGTTTGCGTGGGGAAGGGATGGGGGGAGGAAATACTTAACCACTGATGTTTATTTAGTGCAAGGCTGGCCCAGTGGGTTGAATTGTGTCCCCCCCACCACCAAATATGTCCCAGTAACTGTGAATATGAGCTTATCTGGAAAAGAAAAAGGGTCTCCGCAGATGTAGTTAAGAATCTCGAGATGAAATCATCTTGGATTTAGGGTGGTTCTAAATCTAGTGTCTCTTTTTTTTGGTTTGTTTGTTTGTTTGAGACATGGTCACTCTGTTGCCCAGGCTGGAGTGCAGTGGCACCATCTCAGCTCACCACAGCCTCCATCTCTTGAGCTCAAGAGATCCTCCCACCTTAGCCTCCTGAGCAGCTGGGACTACAGGTGTGCACCACCAGGCCTGGCTAATTTTTGTATTTTGCATAGAGTTGGGGTTTCACCATGTTGCCCAGGCTGGTCTCTAATTCCTGTGCCCATCTCAGCCTCCCAAAGTATTGGGATTACAGACATGAGCCACCGCACCCAGCCTGAATCTACTGTCTTTATAAGAGAAAGAAGAGGGAACTGTGACACATGGGGAAGATGGCCATGGGAAAACGGGGACAGAGATTGGGGTGATGCAGCCACCAATCCAGGAATGCCTAGGGTTCCCAGGAGCTGGAAAAGGCAAGGAAGCTTCTCCCCTAGAGGCTTTGGAGGGAGTGTGGCCCTGCTAACACCTTGATTTTGGCTCAGTGATGCTGATTCCAGACTGCTGGCCTCCTGAAGTATGAGAGAGTTAATTTCTCCTAATTGACGCCACCAAGTTTGTGGTAATTTGTTGCCGCAGCCCCGGGGAATGAACACAGCTGGCAAACATGTAGCAGGCAAGTGCCTCCTACACCCAAGGAGGATGCCAATAATCACCCTCGGTATCCCTTCTGGGGTACCCGGCGCCACCCCTGATCCTGCCCACAGAGCCCTCCGGCAGCTGCTGCCACATGACTGGAGCTGCCACGCTCCATGCTGTGATTTAGTGCTCACCACGTGCCTAACACTGGACTAGGCTCAGGCAGTTCAGAAAAGGGTCTGGCAGGGCCACTGTTCTCGAGGGGCCTGGAGTCTTGGCGTGTGTGGGTGTGGGGCGTGGGCACATCACCTCTGGAGCATGAACAGTGCCTGCCAGTCTCTGGACATCTGCTCAGGCCACCCAGCCTCAGCTCAGCAACTGGGCTTTCTCCAGCTTTCGGGCCGTCCAGCTGCAGCTCAGCAGACAGCAGCCTAGGACTTGTAACTTATTCACCTTAGGGTGAATCACCCACAGAGATTTAGGCAGAGAAAACTACCGTTTGAGCCAACTGGATAAAGAAAGTGCACCAGTCCTTCTCCATGGCTCCAGAAAGAAGGAGTGGCAGGCACTGTTCATGCTCCAGAGGTGATGTGCCCACGCCCCATACCCACACAGGCCAAGACTCCAGGCCCCTCGAGAACAGTGGCCCTGCCAGACCGTTTTCTGAACTGCCTGAGCCTAGTCCAGTGTTAGGGACGTGGTGAGCACTAAATCACAGCATGGAGCATGGCAGCTCCAGTCATGTGGCAGCAGCTGCCGGAGGACTCTGTGGGCAGGATCGGGGTGGCGCCGGGTTCCCCAGAAGGGATACTGAGGGTGATTATTGGTATCCTCCTTGGGTGTAGGAGGCACTTGCCTGGATTTTGCCTTTAAGTCCAGGGACAGCCTGGATTTAAAGGTCTATGAAATTCCTGAGGTGAATTCTTTCCGGAGCCGTGGAGAAGGACGGCACAGAGCAAGAGTGACATGGGAGGCGGGTCTTAAAGGAGAAGCAAAACTCTCCAGATATGGGAGAAAGGACAAAATACCACACAGGACGCAGCCTCTGCCGCCCTCAAAGAGGGGTGCTTATCCTGATGGCGGGGGAGGTTTCCTCACTCAGGGCTTTCTCTTTCCTTTCTTCTCTTCAGCACAGTCCCCTCCAATTGCTTGCCTCAGAATCACTGGCTATACTTACACAAAAGCAGATTCCTGAACTGCCTCCCAGACAGACTGAGTTCGAATCTCTGTGGCTAGGACCTAGATATCTGCATTTTTAATAAGATCCCAGATGATGCTGATGCATCATCAACTAAGAATTACTGGCCTAAAGGTACTTCCAACACAGCCCACCATGCCAGTACAAAGCAGGTGTGCACACTTTTGGAAGGATCCCCATTTTCTCCTGGGGAACTGGCCTTGGGATATGACCAATAGCGCCCCATAGCTCTCAGAACATCGCTGTCCCCATGGGCCCTCGGGGGCAGGCTGAGCACAGCAGTGTGGCACTCAGCGGCTGGCCTGGGATTCGGTGGAAATAGGTTTGCTGCTTCTCAGCCAAGTGGCCTGAAGCAAACGATTTAAGCTGTCTCGATTTCCTCATCTGGATAATGGGGACACAAATAGAACCAATAAAAAGTGTTGAGAAGACTGAATGCCGGCATGTGCATGAAATGCCTCATCGGTGCATAGCACAGCATTTGATAACTCAGAACTTTTTCAAAAAGGTATGATGATGAAAACCTTATTCTGAAGAAAGAAAACTTCACAGAAATCATCATTACAAAGCCCAGCTGAAGCTTTCCTGCACATCAGACCCTCCTGGGGAGTGTTTGGAAAACATCAGTCTAGTGGCCCCTCCCCAGTCTTACGCCTTCCCCATCCTTCCCTCCCACCTGTGAAACCAGAGGAATCTCTAGTAGGGGGTGTCTGAATTTTTTGAAGAAGAGGAAGCTTTCCCATGGCAAGAATCACCCGGGGCACTTGAAGACATGGCCTGGCCTCTCCGGAAAATTCTGCTTTGGGTGTTGGAGATGGGTTCTTGGAACTTGCATTTTTAATCAGGTGCTTCTTAACTTTTCAGCAATTAAGGAAGCGCTGCTTTAAAGTGAGTTTAACCCACTGTGGTTGAGAGAGGTTTTGGTGCCACCCTGACCAGCCGAGGCCGTCTCCCCTGTTACCCACAATTCCTTGTGACGACGCCACCTCTATCCAGGAGGGAAGTGTCACTCATGGTGTGGAGCCTGCTAGTCGTGTTTGGAGATTGCAAAGCACAGTCTTCGTCGGTCTGTGTATGTGTTCATGTAAGCGTGCACACAGACTCACACTTCTGAAAACTACCTCGATGATGGCAGGAAAAAAGAACTGACTAAAACTGTAGAAGTTAAGGGCCAACACAGTGCTCAGAGGAACTTTATCTCTAACACTAAATAGAAACAAAGGATGAGGAGGGGTCCCATGGACAGATGGGGTGAACAGGAGACTCAGTTCCGAGTGGAGGCCCCTGACTGAAAGCCAGCAGTCCCCACGTGGAGCTCTCGCCTTCTAGATGGTTCAGCCTCGCAGGCTGCTTCCATCTGAGAATCCTGGGAGGCTCGCCCTTCCCCATGTGCTTCAAGCCTAAAGAAGTGTTGGGAGCTGTCCTGCCACTCGTGGGGCAAGGGGAGGACTGTTTAGCCAACCCTGGTGAGATGTCAGCTAGGGAGAGGCTGCTGTTCTTGCCCCTGCCCTCCCATGTCTTTCTAAGGATGATTCTGTAAACCTTCTTTGTGTCTCCGCCGTGGAACTGGCTGCCAAGGGGCAGCTTTGCTTACCCAGCCCGGTGCTGCTGGTGGTGCCTTAGTCTTCTGATGTGATCTCTGTAACAGGGACTTGAAAATAACACTCAGAGCTGCGCCCTGCTCAAATGGTCACAGGTCACATCCTGAAGAACCATCTATTCTGGGCATGTTGAAGTTTGGAGCAGATCAGTGCTGGATAAACAGTGTTTTTCTAGGACTACACCAGGAACACCAAATATAGTAGAAATGTAACAAGCCCTCAGAAGACGATTTATGAAAACAAAACAACAAAATGTGTAATTCTGTGAATATACTAAAAACCATTGAATTATACACTTTAAATGAGTGAATTGTATGGTATGTCAATTATATCTCAACAAAACTTTTACAAAAAAAAAAATTAAATGCTGAAAAGTAGATGATTTCCTGGAAAGGTAGTTTCTCATTTTAAGATGTAATTATCAGCCTGTGTGGGACCTGCTTTTCTCTCCGAGCCTGTCCTGTTTAGAAATATCAGCATGCGTTTCCCATCAGCACCACAGAACCTGACTGCTCCCCACCCCACAAATCACTCAACTTCGGAAAAGGGTGAGATTTGACAAATCCCAAAAGAGCTAAACAAGAGAGCCATCACTATTCAGGTTTGCGTTTGCAAACTGAATCCTTACTACCACAAATAACGGCAGTTTGCACTTGCTGAAGAGCTCTTCTGAGCCAGGGCCTGCTTAAGCACATTCAGTGCTCACATGAGCCTGTCGCCCAGGCTGGAGTGCAATGGCGGGATCTCGGCTCACTGCAACCTCTGCCTCCTGGGTTCAAGTGACTCTCCTGCCTCAGGCTCCTGAGTAGCTGGGATTACAGGTGCGCACCACCACACCAGGCTAATTTTTGTAAGTTTTGTATTTTTAGTAGAGATGAGGTGTCACCATGTTGGTCAGGCTGGTCTCAAACTCCTGACTTTGTGATCCGCTCGCCTCAGCCTCCCAAAGTGCTGGTATTACAGGCATGAGCCACCGCGCCCAGCCTACCTGGAGAGCTTTAAAAGCCACTGCTGCCTTGTTCCCATCCCTGGAGAGTCTGATTTTATTGCTTTGGGGTACAGCCAGAGCACAAGCTTTGGGTTTTGTTTTTTTTTCATAGCACACAGGGGATTCTAATAAGAACCCTGGCTCTAGAGTCCATGTTTACATTAAAGAGGCTATTTACTTCTTGCCTGGTACCATCCCTGTGACTTGGGTAGCTGTCCCTGGCAGCATGGCTAAATTCCTCCATCTGGGGTTAACAGAGAGAAGGGGAATGAGTTTCAGGACAATGGCTGTGGCTGCAGGCTCCTGCACAATCTATCTGGCCCTGTCTGATCTTCGGCCTCTGCTGGCCTTTTCTTCCCCACAGCTGGAAACCTGACCTCAGTCCCAGTCCAGTTCCACCCCACCTCGCCCATTCTGCCCCAAGCCCACAGCCCAATTCTCACCCTGGGTGGGGGGAATCAAGGCAGCCATAGCTCAAGAGTGTGTGCCAACAGCAAGAATTCCTGATTATTAATCCACCCACGCCAATATTGGGATCCTATAAGCAGGTTGTGGTCTGCACTGTGAAGCTGGTTAAGGTAACTGCAGGCCTGTCCAGCTCCTCCGGGCTTAGGATCTCATCAGGAACCTGGCTCCCTTCTCACATGTGGCCCCTGCATTTCACTTAGTGAAGGGGAATCTTGTCTTCCTGTTAGCCTTTGATCCCCGGAGCTGCCCCTTTCTATTTTAGTCTTTAATTCCTTTCCCACCACCGTGCCTGACTAGGCAGGTCTTCCTCAGACCAGTTTTGCACTGCAGTCCCCCGGCAGGCTGCCTCCTATAAAATATCCCTCTTTGGTGGGGTGTAGTGGCTCATGCCTGTAATCCCAGGACTTTGGGAAGCCGAGGCGGGCAGATCACCTGAGATCAGGAGTTCGAGACCAGCCTGGCCAACATGTTGAAACCCCCATCTCTACTAAAAGTACAAAATTACCTGTACATGGTGGCATGTGCCTGTAATCCCAGCTACTCTAGAGGCTGAGGTGGGAGAGTCGCTTGAACCTGGGAGGTGGAGGTTGCAGTGAGCTGAGATTGTGCCACTGCACTCCAGCCTGGGGGACAGAGTGAGACTCTGTCTGAAAGAAAACAAAAACAAAAAAAAGTCCCTCTTCAAGGCCCACACACTTGTCCAGAATCTACATTTCCAATGTTAAATAGGATTTGCCCATCAAAATAGAAACATACAGTAGGCTCCTCAGAAGTTAACATGGAAATTCGATTAGAAAAACAAGACTAAAATACTTGAGGAAAGAAAATGGGAAACCTGAGACTAAGATCATGACCCCTGGAAAGGATATGGCCATCCCAGCCTCAAGAGCTCTCAGCTCTGGGCTGCTCCCCTGCCTGCTCCCAGGCATGTTGGCCCCCACTGCAGGAGGGGACGTCCTCTCTCCCTGCCTTCCAGCCCAGGCCAGCTCCCTCTCCTGCCCTCAGGAGTCAGCTGCAGGAAGGAACCGGAGTCAGCTTCAGTCTGACAATCACAGCAGGAAATGGCTAAACTCTCTTGGGAAATTTTGGGTCTCGGAGATCCTGGGCCTCATTTTTGACCTTTATCTCCAATACGGACCCTTCTTATACTCAGCCATACAGTATTCTGACTCCACAGCTCCCAACTCTTCCTACTACAGCACTCCCTGGCTCTCAAGGCTTTTGGCTTTGCCTTCTGGAAAGCTTGTTCCGTTGACGGGAGTTCCCCATGGCTAGGGCCCTCTCCTCCTTCTCACTGGAGCTCAGGACACAATGGGTGACAGCCCTTGCGAGTGGAGGCTGCTCATTCTCCTGCCCCCCGTTTACCTAAGGCCTGGAACCCACTGTTGGCATCTTGAAGCTTCTTACTGCTGTTTACAGGCAAATATGTGTTCACCCTCCTCTAGAAAACGCTTCTCTGCTGAGATCTGTGCCATCCTCCTCGACCATCTGTCATGTTCAGAATTAGTTCATTTGCTGACAGAAAACCCAAAATAACAGTATCTCAAACACTCGAGATTTTATTTTTTAAGTTAAAGAAGTCTCTGAGGCAGAACGTCCCGAGCAGGTAATTTGGCTTCATGAAGTCTTCGGGGACCCACGCTTTTTCCTGCTCATGGTTCTCCCATTCTTAAGGTGGAAGCCTCGTCTTATGGCCCAAGATGCGGCCCACACCTCAGCCACCACGTCAGAGCTCCAGGTCGGCCACAGAGAGAAGGGAGCAGGAAGGGCTTCCAGAGCACCCTAGAGCAGGGACACAGCCACTCCCAGCGACTGGCTAGGATGAGCCATGTGATCTTAAAAAGTCTGAGTGGCAATGGCTCTGGCTAAAAATCTAACCTCTTCTTGCTAAGGAAGAAGGGGCTGATGGATATGGGAGGGAAGTCTCAGTGTCTCCCACATCACCCTCATTACTGGCCTCCACATATCTTAGGTCTCCCCTCACAAGGTCTGAGGACTTCACTGCTCGTTTCCCTCAAACTGTGCCATCATCTTGGGAGTCCTCAGCACTGCATCAGCCATCTCTTGATACCTCCATCCAAGCTCTCCCTCCATCCAGCCTCCTATCCTCAAGGCCACAGCAGGGAGCTTGTCATCCCAACTCCGAAGTATCCAGCTCACTGAACTCTTATCCTTCCTGCTTGCCCCTCTCTCCCACGAAACCTCTTCTAGGATCTTATGGGGATCTTGAGTTCCTGGCCTCCTCCCCACTTACCAAGTAAAAGAAGCCCATCCTCAATGCACTGCTGTTTCTGCCCCTCTGCCTGCCGGCCTGGCGTCCTCATGGTCTCCCATCCTTGTGCACACACTCCCTGCTCCTGCTTCTGGCTGAGCCAGCCCTTGCCCTCACCGGCTGAGCCCCCTCCTCTGCTGCGCAGATCACACAGCCTCAGTCAGCAGCTGCATCCCAAAGAGAAGTTACATATTTTGTTGCTGTTGCTTCATTTTGGGAGACGCTGCTCCCAAAGCCTCTCACGTGGACTCTGTCAGCTCCTTCTCCCATTTCCCTTCACAGCCCTTTCAGACCCTAGTGCTTTCTGCAAGCCTCCCTGCCTCCCAGCCACGACTGCTTCCTGTTTTTTGGAAGAGATGTCCTCAGTGTGGCCGCCGCCACTTCCTGCCCTGTCACCAGCGAACTTCTCTGCTCGTGTTCTCCTCTCTGTCCCCTTCTCTGAGGAAGGGTGGTCCCTCTGCTGAGCTAAGACTGAACCGTCCACAGGTGGTAAGCCTCTCATCCTCCTGCCTTCTCTGGATTATTACTCCTTTGAGTATCCTTCCATCACCTGTGCCTTCAACCTCTTCTTCATCAGCTTCTTCCTCCCTGAAAAGAATATGAAGATCTCTTTCAAATTACAAAAGTCCTCTGTGTATCCCGCTCTCTTGGCCTATATAGATTGTTTTGCAGCAAAGTTTGTTGAGAAAGTTGTCTTTGCTCCCTTTATCCACTTCTCCAACCATTCGGGCTCCCACTCTTTCCTCTCTGGCTTCTCCTCTCACAATTTCCTGGAAACTGGGCGAAGGCTTCTACTTAGATGGGCTTTCCGGGGCTCTACTTACAGACTTCCCTGGGGCAGGAGACACCATCAGCCATACTCCACCCCTCTGCTCCCCTAGTTTTCCTGGCACAACTCTTTCTCTGTTGTCTCCCAGGCCAGCCCCTTTCATCTGGGTGTCTTGGGAATGCTGTCCTCCCAGCGTTCCCGCAGCCCATGGCTCTTCTCTTCGCAGGGCCCATCTTCCTCCCCGCAGTAATCTTTCACATGATGTCAGCTGCTGCTTACCCCCAGCAGCGCTTTCTGGTTTGAGTGGAGCTGAGCTCGCCAGGCCTCAGGCAGGTCTGGGCATGTCTGGGGACCTGGTGAACGGACGCGCCCAGGTCTATTTGTAAGGGAACTAGCAGTGTCCCAGGAAAGAACCAGCCTGTTGTTTTGCCTCCTCAGTGACAACCAATCAACATATTTAACTCAACACACATTAATAAACACTCTTCTAGAAACTGGGGGTACAGCAGGGAACAAAACAGGCACAATTCTGGTCTTCATGGAGGCAGACAGACACAAGATAAGTAAGATCACATTGCAAGAAATGCCGAGGAGAAAAAGCAGGGTGAAGGGATAGGATGTGTGTGTGTGTGTGTGTGTGTGTGTGTGTGTGTGTCTGTCTGTCTGTGTGTGCATGTTGACATTTACAATAGGGCACTCACTGAGATGGTGACATTTGAGCAGAGACTGAAGGGTTGGTGTGTGATCATGTGCATGGAGAGTATTCCAGGTTGGGGGACAGCAGGTGTAATGAAGCTTATAGGAGGCCATTGCTTTGGGCTGAGCTCTTGCACTAGGTCCAACAGACCAGACCAAGCCAGAATGGAGCCACTTGTGCTAGCTTGCTATATAATTAAACTTAACTCTAAAATGGGCCCATTTTCTAAAAAATAGGAAAATAATCAGAAGGGCACCAGCTTACCTGAGCAGGCATGATAAGGAAAACCCCTCTGTTTTAACACTATCAGGAAAGTCACTTTGAAACGAGCATCCCTCTTTGTGCTCCATTTCTGCTTCTTCAGCCCTCTTCTGCCTACAAGCCCCGCCCCCCACCTCAGTGCATCAGAGTACCTGTTCTAAATCTGTAGATGGGATGCTGCCCGATTCATGAATTGCTAATAAAAGCCAAGTAGATCTTTCAACTAATTTTTTTAAAAAAGATTTTTTATAATAGTCCTGAGAGAACAGCAAAAATTCTTTGCTTGAGAACTGAAGGAAGCAGAGTGAATTAGACTAACCCCCAAAATAAGTCAGACCAATAGTGGTGGAGGGGTGTGTGTGTGTGGGTGTGTGTGTGTGTGTAGGGTGGGGGTATTAGGGCTGATAATTTAGGGTTTTGTAAAAACTTGCGTTTTACTCTGAGGTAGGAAGACTAGGGAGGGTTCTGAGCAGAGGAGTGATGTGTTCTGATTGATGTTTTAAAAGGCTCACTGTGTTGAGAATACGCCAAAGGGCAGAAACAGACCTATGACAATAATCCAGGCAAGAGAAAATGGTGGCTGGGTCTGGGCTGGGAGCAACAGAGGTAGTAAGAAGAGACTAGAATCTGCTACCTTTTTAAGAGTAGCACTGGCCGGGCATGGTGGCTCATGCCTGTAATCCCAGCACTTTGGGAGGCTGAGGTGGGCAGACCACGAGGTCAGGAAATCGAGACCATCCTGGCTAACACGGTGAAACCCCGTGTCTACTAAAAATACAAAAAATTAGCCAGGCGTGATGGCAGGTGCCTGTAGTCCCAGCTACTCGGAGGCTGAGGCAGGAGAATGGCATGAACCTGGGAGGTGGAGCTTGCAGTGAGCCGAGATCACGCCACTGCACTCCAGCCTGGGAAACAGAGTGAGACTCCATCTCAAAAAAAAAAAAAAAAAAGAGTAGCACCAACAGAATTTGCTCATGGTGGACCCACAGATGATGCTATTTAAGACAGAGTAATCCAGTCTCTGGGTGTTATTGTCTACTTGGGCTATGCCTTCAGATTGCACAGTGTGGGATTAGGGTCTTTTTTCCTTGTAGCAAATGGATGTTCCCAATGTCAGTCATTGTGGAAAGATGTTAATCCTGAGGTAGGAGGAGAGGCATGCTTGGATAGGGGCCAGGGTATCAGTGGGGACTAGGGCAGAGATGCTGGGGACCTTCCTGGTGATGGTGGTGTTGGAGTTGTTGGTGATGGTGGGGGTGGATGCTGAACGAATTAGTCCTGATCTAGAGGCAGACCAGGACCTAGAAAAGGCTTGGCTGGTGAGGGACTAGGGTTGGGCTGGGTTCTGCTGGTTTTCAAAGAAGCTACTTCTAATTGTGGTCATACTTCACATGCTTTTTGTGCATTTGTTCCTTTTCAATGCAGACGGCAATGCCCTCGACAGTGGGTACATTGGTCCCAGTGAGACAGGGCAATTGTGGTGGCTCCTGGAATGAGCATCTGGACCTAGGCATGGCTCTGAGTCTTGGGTGGTCCAGGACACCACCACAGTGAGCAGGAGCAGGGAAGGGGGAACCATGGATAGCAGGTGGCACAGAGGTCTAGTTCAAGAAGTAAGTTTATGTAACCTCCTGTTCCCCCTCCCCCACCCCCCACATATACCAGGGTTTGCCAGGATTCCCTGGAATATGTTGAGAGGGGCTGGAGTTCCCTAAGAGTGGGAGGAGGCAGAAGCAGAGAAAGGCTGTCCTGGGTGACTCATTGTCATGCTATTTTTGACTACAGGCTCCTGTTGCCTGGGAAATGTGCCTTCTTATAGTCAGCTGACTCCCAATCTCTCTCTCCAGACTGGCTTTCTTTCCTGATATCCACACCTCTTGGGCGTGTTGCCTTAGATATCCCAGACCTCAAACCCAAAGTGAGCTCTTCTCTTCTGCAAACTTCTCTCTCTCTTGTTCTCAGCCTCCAGAATGACACCACAAGCCAGCCAGCTGCCCAGGCTGGAACCCTGGGTCAAGTTTGAAGCCTTCTTTCCTTTTGTCTGTCACATGTAGTTAATCATAAGGCCCTATGTATCACCTCCTAAACATCTCTTGACTCCCTCTTTTTTTTCCATCCTTTCTGCCCTGGCCAGAGTTTTGGGGTGATTCCTTATGGGCACTTTTGCCTCATTGTGCCCTCCTCTCTGCTCCTAACTCCCCATGGCTCAGAGTGACCTTCCCAGTGTCACCTCCTGCTCAACGTTCTTCAGTAGCTCCCATCACCTTTGGGAGATGACATACAGCAGATAAGGCCATGTTGGTATGGCCCAGGCTACCCGCCAGCCTCTGGCCACTCCCTGCAGCACTTCATGGGCAGTGATTCTGGACAGCTAATAGTTCCTGAACCCTGCTGGGGTTGGGGTGGGGTGGGGGACACTTATTCCCAGCATCTGTCTTTCTGCAGACTGGAGGGAATTTCAGATTACTGGAGGGAACTGTAAAGAGGAGATACTTAGAGCTTCTCACAGACCCCTTCTCTGTTCTCCTGGGGCTGGGGTGGACTCTGTGTGACCTGGGAAAAGAAACAGAGCGCACTCACCTGGGCATCGACCCTTTCTTGTCTTGAAGTAAAATGCATTCGGGTCTGTTTTCCAGTGTTCATGGATTGGGGTAGGCTCTGCTTTGGGTAGGAATGACCCTAGTTTTGGGTGGAAGGAGTTCAATTTATGGGGCACTCATTAGGAAACCCACTCCCTCCACAGTGCTATTTATTATTCCCTTAAAGTTCTAGGAAAACCAGGCTCTCTCACACCTCTGTGTTGTAGCCTCCGCTCTTCCCTGGAAATGTCCTGTCCTGCTCGCCCACATGGCAGAGTTCTCTGTCGTGGTGTCTTGCTCAGGCTCTGCATCTGCTGTGGCGGCCGCTTCCCCCACCTGCCCTTTCCTGCGTGCAGACTCCAGTGCTCCTTCCTGAGGCTTCCAGCACACTCTGGGTATCTTCCATTGTTACAAGAACCTCAATAAATAGCAATGTCCTTATGTCTTATGCAGGGGTGTTTTTTTCTGGCGGGGTAGTGGGGGTGTGATGGTGGTGGGGGTCATCTTTTCATCTTTATGGTAGTTGTGCCTTGCAAATGGTCCAGCACACAGTCTTTTGGTAACTGTTTGCTGAATAATTCAGTTCAACCTAGTCTATTCAGCATAGATTCTATTGTAAGCACTGTATTTTGCATTGGGAAACACAAATGAATAAGATATGATGGGGACCCCAGAAAGCGGTGCAGCTTGGTGGTGAAGACACACTTGCGTAATGTAAGTCCTATACTAAATCTATGAAAAATGTTGCACTTGTGTGGTTAAGAAGTATTGGATTTGGAACTGGGACTCCAAGTTTAAATTCTAGCTTCAAAACCCAGTAGCCTAAATTTTCATAGCTGTGAAATGGGAATAGTAGTACCCATCTCATAGCTCAAGGATTAAATAAGATAAAGTATGTAATCACATCCTGCATAGTTACTGGGCAATAATATACACTCAAGTAATGTGTGCAGAAATGAATATGCCTCATTTGATGGGAGCACAGAGCCTAGAGCCTTTGGATTTGCTTGGGGCAGCTGAGCAGACTTCACAGAGGAGACATTAGCACTGGATTCAGAGAAAGTAGCTGGAAATGGCACTTCTGGAGAGAGGTCTTGGAGATAAACTTCCTGGGGCTTGGCCTGGGGGCTGCAGCTAGGTGAAGCTGCAGGCCAGGCAGTTTCCAGAGCAGCGGCCACAGCAATGGGATCTGTGGCAAGATCCCCTGCCCCAGAAGCTGCTGAGTCACACCGAGGCCCAGAGGACTCTGTTTTGTTCCGAGTGAGCTTTCGGCTGAAGGACAAGCCTGGACAGGGCCTCTGTTGCTGGGACTTTGTGCCCAGCTCTGTTTTATAGGAGCAGCTTGGAGCCCTGCCTGACCCCTTCTATCCCTCCCATCCCTGCAGGGAGGCCCCAAGGAGCCTCAGCCCGGATTCCTAAAGTGAGTTCCAGCTCTGGTTTAGAGAGGGGTGTGTTTTGCTTAGAGCTTTATTTTAAGCCTTGCAGCACCCAAAGCAAAAAAGCCATAATTCTTGCATCATAGCGGTAGGTGTAGAGGTCAAGCAGCCCTCAGGATGAAATCCCAGCTCCTTCAGTTTTTGACCTGGTGTAAGTTATTTGACCTCTTCAAGCCTCTTTCCTTCATCTGTCAAATGGGAGTAATAAGGCACACTCCCCAGGCGTGTTACCAGAATTAAATAAGAACACATGCATTTTCTTACTTAACACAGTGAAGAGCTTTGCGCCTGGCATTTATTATTCACAGTTGCTGTGTGGGAAGGTTCAAAGAAAGGACCTGGAGACTCTCTCCCCTGATCTAATGAATCATGGAGTCCTGCAGACTCAGTGTTTCTCAAACTTTATGTCCACATCACCCAGCGATCTGGAGGATGCACAACCTGATCCAGGAGGCCTGGGTGGGACCTGAGGGTCTGCATGATTGATGAGCTTCCGGGTGATGCCCTGGCTGCTCTGCAGGACCATACGGTGAGCACAGAGCTCCAGACACTTTTCTCCCCCTACCCCACTCCACCCCAGGGCTCCTCTCCCCTCCGTCAGGGCCCAGGTAATGATCTTCTCACGAGTTTGGCTTTGTCCAGCCTTCTTCACCTCTATGCCTGCAGCTCACTGTTGCATCATGATTCCTCTTGAAGTGTAGGAGAAACTGCTGATATACAGTCACATATGATCGGAGGAGCTGCTGCTTCTGCTGGGGGTGAGGACAGGGGATGACATGACTCTCTCAGGAGGAGATGGCCTTTTATCTAGCAAAACACCTTGGAGACTGCTTGGTGTGAGGGAGATGAGGCACCCAGGGCTTGCTTTTAAGGAGACCTTAAGTGGTCTGAGGCTTAGCAAGATAGCTATTGCAGACATGCTCTCCATGTGTGGATGGTGGTTGTTAGGCTATTTGCTGTGACTCAGTTTCTCTGTTGAAAAAGGGCTTAGAGGGGGCCAGGTCTGTTGAAATAGGGCTTAGTGGGGGCTGGGTGCAGTGGCTCATGCCTGTAATCCTAACACTTTGGGAGGATCACTTGAAGTCATGACTTTGAAAAAGGGCTTAGCAGGTACCTGGGATTGTCAGTGAGGGGAACTTGCTCTGGGCAGGCGGCTGGATGCAGGGCCCAGACCCACCTTCTCCTACCGTATCACTCCATCCCTGCTTGGCTCCAGTGGAAGGTGGGAGGTGGGGAAGAAAGGGTTCAGTTCAGCCTTCAAGAAACAATGGTCACACAGATGTTTAGACAGATTAAGTCTTGCTTTACAGAGCTTGTGGCCATCTCCATCAGGTGGTCAGAGATACTCTGGAGAAAAGAGGAAAACATGCAGATGGATGCTGAGGAGTAAGGCTGATGTCCCGGTCGAGTGGCTGCCTGCACTGCTGGGGTCTAGATCCCACACAGGCCTTACCTTCAATTGGGATGCCTTCCCACAGTTTTCTGTTAGCCATTGGCTTTGGCAGGTAAGAAGCACTGTGCTGGCTTCACATAATTCTAATGTCAAGAAATACAAAATTGAGATTTACTGAATTGTGCAGAAATGAAGGAGGAGCTGTGTACCAAGAAAGAGTCCTGAGCTGCAGTCAGAGATTCTGCTACCAGGGGTTGGAGTGG